TAGAAATGAGCATCAACACACAATTCGAAAAATAAACTCGAAGTAGTAAGTCCTAAGTAAGGTACGTACTCTCCTATCGCGTGCCCGGATGAAAATAATGAAGAAAGCTCGAAACTTGGATAAAAGTAAGCATGCCGGAATTTCACCGAAAAAATAGAGTTATGAACCTCCAACTAAAGCATAAAAAAAATAAAAAGAGAGAAAATTGAGAGGATTTCCCAACTTAAAAGTTGGGAAATGAGGGTGGTATCCAAAAATACAAAGCACAATGTCTATTTACAGCTACACCACAAACACACACTAAAAACACACACATTTAATGAAATACTGAAGTTTGCGGGTCTCGAAATCTTGTTCGCAGCGAGTTTGCACATGAAAATCAACTGAAAATGAGTCTTCGCAGGTCGCCAATGGTTGTTCGCTGCGAGTGCTTGGGAGATGAGCTGCAGGCAAGTGGTTCGCGGGGCGCCAAGTCTTGTTCACTGGCGAGTGTGGCGCATGGATCTTTGGGGCGCGCGCGTTTTGCGGGCCGCGACTCGGCGTTCGCTGGCGAGTGCTGGCAGTAGGCTGGCGCGCGGGCTGGCATTTCGCGGGGTGCGAGTAGTCCGTTCGCTGAGAGTGGCGCCTGCTAGGGTGCTGCGCGCGCTGGGGCTTCGCAGGACGTGAGTCCGCGAATGCGAGCTTGTGGAGGGCAGCGCTTCGCCGGGCGCGAGTGAGAGTTGGCAGCGAGTGCGCTGCTTGCTGTGCGCCAGCCGCTTCGCCGGGCGCCAACACGCGTTCGCTGGCGAGTGGGCTGCTGGCCACAGGTCTGTCTCTCGCGTCGCGGAGCTGTCGCGGGCGAGTTGCTGGGTTAGGTAAGGCGTGTTGCTGGGCGCGTGCCATTTCGTCGGGCGCGAACGGTCGTTGGCGGCGAGTGCTCATGCGCGCGTCTTACCTCGAACTTGACCCGGAACGGCTTGAGTGATTCGTAAATGATTCGGATGGCTCGGGTAAGGTTCAGAAAATAGTTCGTCTTCACGATCGTGCAATTTGGACCTAAAACCAAAAGAGACGCAAAAATACGACAAAATATAAAAACACATAATAAAAATAAAAACATATAAAACACGATAAAATTGACCGGTTGACATTCAAACGAACATAAAAATAACTCGACTAACACATAAGACACAAGAAAATAAGCACAAAAACATAACAAACGGTAACTTTCAGTTACACAATTTATTTTGACATGTCCCATTTTCGATGGTGCCCATTTCTGTAACGCAAAAAATACAAATCCCAAATTCACGAGTATCATATAAACACAAAATTTATTTTGTAATGAAATACAAAATATTTTAGTTCTAATTTTGATACTAAATATTTTTTGATATTATATAAATACATATTTCACAACTGATTAAAATGACTACAAATATCTCTATTTTCTATTGCATTCATACAATGATAAAAAATACTTTTTTTTTATTACAAAAACACATCAAATATTTTGAAAAATTGAATCTCAGATTCACGAGTCGAAAAGACTTAACGATAAAGATTTGTTGTGATGGAGGTTCTGACGATGTGAACCCCACAAGGTGTTTTTTTTATTTCAAAACAAGACCCCAAAATGGTGGGTGGTTAAGACCAGACCTCCAACCTATTTATAAAAAGGTTATAAATGGACTAAAAAGTTACAAGTCTACAAGTTCAATGTCTGATATACATCAAGTCAAACGAAAACAAAAACAGAAACAAGAAAAGATACATGAAAAAGCTGGCAATAGCAGCGAGTAACGCAAAAGTATCAGCTCCTGGTCCAGAAAGAGTCCAGGCGAAAAGTCAGCATCACAGGAGAGAAGATGCGCCAAAAGGTTAGACCGACTACACGAATCTGAATGAAGAGTATACTATCTGGTCCATCCTATAAGGGTACAAAGGCGGAGTTGAATATGGTCAGGGTAAAGAACGCGCCTCTGGGGGTGGAGGACCCGATGCCAACAAGGAAGTCAGCAGACCGGTTCCCCTCGCGGAAGATGTGGGAGATCTGAAAGCGATTCGACCGAAGTGTGACTCTAATACGCATGAGATGATGTTGAATCTGCCACGTGCTCTGATGGCTAGAGGTTAAGAGGGTGATGACAACGTCCAACTCTATCCAAATGTGAGAGGATGAAAACAACGAATGTTGTATATAAAGAAGTGTTTAATAATATTTAGTTTTGATTTTTTAAATTATTTTTTTTCTCATTTATTAAGTTACGATTTTTATTTTTTCTATATTATTAAATACTTTCTCTTCTATTGTATCACTTTTCGTGCAAATGCACGGGGTAAAACTAGTACTTTTAAATGTATTTGAACTCTTAAAAATTTAATTTTACATAAAAATAAAATATGAATTTTACTCATTAGCTTGCATGGATTATTAATTTGTGTAATCTAAATTTTAAAAAATAAAAATAAAAAAAATTGTGTAAGCACAATAAGGCAGAGATTTTTTTTTTTTTTTTTCTTGATGGATCATCATTCATAGGTGACTATAATGGCCGACTCTTGTTGTACCTTTCACTTCTAAGACTTTCATATTCTTTTTTTTTTTCTTTCTTTTTTTAAGACTATTTCATATTCTATCTCCAATAATTTGGCTCTAAGAATATTTGTCATTTAATACATGTTTTACTTACCAATTACATGAAATAAAAGATTAAACACACTAATCAAAATAGATTAATAGGTTTATCTATGAAGCCAACAGTTGGCTCCGTAGTGGAGCCAACAGTTGGCTCCGTAGTGGAGCCAATATTCTATATACAGCAAGTAAATCATACAATATTAATAAGATTATATTAGTGTTATTTAAGTAATTAGAAAATATGGTATGTTTATTTGTTGTATATAGAAGACTGGCTCCAGTATAGAGTCAACTGTTGGGTTCATAGCAAAACCGATAATCTATTGGTTTTGCTATAAAGCTAACAGTTAACTCCATAATAGAGACAATCTTCTATATATTATCCATTCAATAGTTTATTAACCATTATAATACTGTCACATATCGACTCATTACACCACTTAATTCTTTTGGCACTAGGTTAATTACATTAAAAAAAAAAAAAAAAGTTAACTTTATACCTTAGTCATCAAGATTCATGAATATTAATTAAGATCTTAATCATCAGAATGATGAGTAGACTCTAAACATAGTGGGAGGAGGTTTGTGCATAAATCTCAATCACGGGAGAATATGATAGGCATAATAATTCATTCATATACCTAAAGTGAAAGGAAGCTAATTAATGGAGTCCAGTTCAAGTTGTGACATGTGAGAACATGCACAAATCTAAGGCAAGCAATGGCCCATAATATCATCCCAATAATCTACCACAAAAACAAATCAAGTGAAATAACCCCTTTTAATCTCTCTCCCACGAGGAACCACGTGTTGACAACTCCTCTTTTAACCCCCTTACCCTCAACTTCACCCCCACTCTATCTTCTATTTCCTATCCTCAATTTGATTTATTATATAAATATATTTTGTTTTTCTATTGTTCTCAATTAGTAGTTTTTTTTTTTTTTTTTACAAAGAAAGAGGGAAACGCCTAATGGTCTAAGTTGCACACGCTATGTAGGTAGGCCACGTCAATGAGATCATATTGTAGCCAATGTCAAATACAATCCGACAGAGCATTAAAGAAATGATACCACAACGATCCTTCCGCTTCGAAGGAAGCCAAATAATCGGCAGCAAAATTTACTTCACGGAATATATGTTTCACTTTGGCCACCCAAGGTCGACTTAATAATAGTTCTTCGATACCGACACAAGGCCTGTATGCACCCCAAGTACAACATCGGGAGATGTAGCGAACCCCACTGTACTCTCGTCGTAGCAAACCCCACTTTGTTAGGGTAAAACAACAAGCGCATTTGAAAAAAAAAACTCCTACAACAAATATTGCAAGGACTACTCCTAACAAAAATAAGTCAACACAAATAAATAAAAGACGAGAAAAAAAATAACAGACAAAATTGATAACGGAGTTCGACCAATATTGCCTATGTCTCGGAGCACATCCAACCGCAACCTCAGATTTACTAAACTCACAAACTAAATACAACTAGGGTTAAATAACCCACAAATTCTTTATAAGATATGAGAGAACATGATAATGTACAATTGTAACTTGAAAGCAAAGAACATATTTATACTAAAAAGATCATACACATTTTTTATCACATGTGGAACAAAAATTAATCAAAGTTTAAACTTAGGATCTTCACATTCTTACAACTATATAGTTCAAGCCCATTAAGGGATAAAATAATTTAAAACGATAAAGTAGGGCCCCTATTTAGAAGCTTAATGTGCATATTATTTGAAAACCAAAAATGGTTGATCCCCAAACCCCACATATACACCAATTGAGACCATTGGAGTACTTGGACCACACAATACTACTAACCAATCCCTTGTGTATGATCCTGAGCCTCTCCCCCCAAGAATTATTATATTTGTTTTTACAGATAGATTGATGGGCAGTGATCGCCCAAAACACTAGGAGATTCTACAGTCCCGTTACGGAATTATTCCGTCGTGATTTGTAACCGTTAGATTAACTATCTACGACAGTTACATGATGATCTTACAAATCACGACGGAATAGTTCCGTAATAGGATTGTAGCATTTCTCAAAAACACTATATACAAATACAATAGTTAGAATCTTCATTATTTTCACACCACCTTCCTATATAATAATAAAAATAATCCATAAAAAATAAACAAATAAATAATAATAAAAAATCCATCCACTTAGCTACAAGTACAACACACACATCCATACATATGTAGCTGGTCTTATGCAGTTATATATTCTCACAAAACTGTTATCACCTCCTCATCATGAGAATTTAATACACCTCGTACCATCCATAATTTCTGCCTCTCTCCAAAACTCTTGATTAATCTATTTATCAAGTTAATTATATACATTACACTGGATTCAAACATGGGATTGAGCACTAAACAAGTCTCCGGCGACCTTCCGGCGTTCGATTGGCCTTCCGGGAAAGCTACTCCGCGGCCGGGTGCACCTGAGCCGCCCGAGCCCACGTCCAAGTGCCCCAGATGCGGATCAACCAACACCAAATTCTGTTACTACAACAACTACAATAAATCTCAGCCCCGCCATTTGTGCAAGTCATGCAAGAGGCACTGGACTAAAGGCGGCACCCTGCGGAACGTTCCGGTTGGCGGTGGCCGGAAAAACAAACGCCCGAAGATTTCAGGCGGCAGCAAGAAAAGCACGTCAAGCGCTCTTTATCATGCGCTCATTGGATCTCCTTTAGTGCACGAGAAAACGGATAATAATAATAATAATAATGGCGGGAACGTTATTACTTCTTCTTCTTCTTCGGGTTTGAATTCTCAGTTCCATCTCTCGAGTTTAAGCGCGTTCGAAATGAGTACGTTGCTGAATCCCATCTCTTATCATCATCATGATTCATTTAGCGCATTTGGTCCCTATGATCAAGGGAATCTTGATTCGATCGAAGAATCGACTATCACGAGCGTGGGCTATATTGCGAGCTCTAGCAACGGGCCGTGGGGCGGCGGTCCTTTGGATTTGCCCGATTATTGGAACTGGAATGAGATCGACGATCATTTCAATATATCGTGGGATGATGGTGAGTCTGAGATCAAACCCTAGTTTAAGTAGTGGTGAACATTATATCTCAGCATTTTCTTTTTTTTTCTTTTTTTTTTTTAAGTTTGGTGTGGTTTTTAATGGGTATCTCTATCATAGGCATATTATGAAGCTGTCCATTTTTAGTGTCAGCTTCAGGCTACTGGAAATGCATAATATGTCAAGTGTTTGTTTTGATTTATTTTTATTTTATTTTATTATTTTTGGTTGTTTTTTAAGAAAGAAATTGTTCATGTCAGAGTTGGAGTTGTTGGATTAGTGGGAAAAGGGCATATGGGACATTCTACAGCTGGGTGAGGGGTGACTAGATTTGGACAGAGCATTCTTGTGGATATGTGTTTTGTTGTGTAGATATGTTGGAATGATTAATGAGTCTGTATTCTGTTCTCATGTTATTGCCAAAATTTAGTTTCTTCTTAACATTATTGGGGTTTAACAAGGCTGCAAGAGTTTAATATTGGATTGTTTTCCTGTATTAATGGGAAATGTTACGGTCTCATTACGGTACCATCGCGTCGGGTGTTATATCCGTGGTACCATAACGGGACCGTAACATTTCCCTGAATTAATATCTATATTTTCCAAAATTTTCATGTTATTTTAATTTTTCGGTTCTCACCATCGATCCATATACTATGTCTATACAAATTCAGCACCATTTGGATGCTGTTTTATTTTAAAGTCTACCTAATAATAGACCTAGTCTAAAAAAATATATTCTCTAATGCAAGTACAGTTTGACAAAATCATGCTTATGTGGCAGCAACAAAAAAAAAGACTATCTCCCCTTAAGTCTATTTTAAATCTAAGTAGAGACCTAGAGTTTATATAATTTTATCCATGTCACCCAAGACTTAGGTCTATTTGCATGGCACATAGGCAAAACTAGACTCGATGCATTGAAGATGCTCGAAGAGAAGAAACTTGGCTGTCATTACAAGTTACAAGAAATAAAGCTCACACAAGCAGCATAAAGGGAAAAATTAATAAGCTCCTCTACTTACATAATCCCAGAGAATCTAATTCAGAAAACCATTAGAGCAAGAGCATTCAAGAATCCAACGAAAAGGAGTTTTCAGGATAACAAGCCGATGTCACCTGGAAATACTACATTCAATCAACTACGACAATTTACAACTTAACACAACATAATGAGATTGTTGTCATTAATTCATTCATTCATCCAAACAATATATATATATTAATTATAAACTCGGTTCGTCCAATATCAAAATTACTAGCGCGCGCAAATAAATCAAATCGTAGTTGCCAATAGTACTAGTTACAGTCGCCATTTACAAAGATAGCAACAAACCTTCTGCAACAATATAGAAAAGAAAAAATCACACCAGCTTTAAAGCCTTTATAGAGCCTCTGTCAGCCTACAAAGAATCAAACGAGCCACTCTTTAACCTCTCCATACGAGCCTGGAGGCCAGATAAGGCCCTCTCGTCCATAGGAAGTATACCTCCCTGCATATGACTATTACCAGTTTGCCCTTCTGTAACGGACGGATGATGTGCATTTCCGTTTACTTGTAGTAATGGCCGGCTTCTTGACTCTTGGTTCACTCCAGCAGCAGCTAACTGGATGCTCTTCATTCTCTCTCTAATGGCGTCTAGAGATCCATTTACGACTGCAGTTAAGGTACACAATTATTACGTGCTTATGCTCCCACAAAGTAATCAGGTTTAAAATAAAACAAAATTAAATAAAATACTAAGACTACTGCTAAGATTTAAACATAATAATATAATGATAAAAGAAAACCAACATTTGCTCCTGACAAAATGGGAACCCTCAAGCGGAGGGTTGTTTATTAGGTAACTGAAAAAACTTGAAAATAGGTTTCAAAAGTCGGATATCTTTTTTTTTTTTACAAACTAATGCAATTATGTCCATTGCACATGGAGCTGGAAGAGTCATTGTTGACAATTCTCCTAGCATAGTGCTAATAATGGACTAGATCAAAATGGCTCAATTCAAATTCTAGTGCTTCTTCTATTAGTGAAGTTTCTAGAAAAAATATATCAAACGACGCAATGCATCTTGGGTCGCTATGGAAACAGCCTCCTTGCATAATTATAAGGGTAAGAAGGTCTGCGTACAACTGACCCCCCAGACCCCAACCCGTTTGGGAATATACTGGGTATGTTGACGTTGACGTTGACGTTGACGTTACAAACTAATGCAATGATAAGATTAACTAACCACCAGCTGGATATCTGTCATTTCTCGACTCCTCAAAATTCTGCTGTAGCCCCGATTGGTCGTAACTCGATACTACTTTCGAAGTGACGGTATTCATATGCTGATCATTCTCAGTATATGACGGAGGCAAGCTAAAATTTGTTGGTTCAACTCTTGTGTTCATATTCCGTGAGTCAGTCAATGGGTTTGAATTATTTACAGGGGAAAGAGGGCCATATCTTGGAGAGAGGTTAAGAGCTGCTGGTGGTGGAGTAGGTAATGGCACACTTGCATGTGTCCTTCCGGCGGCTGCATTTCTCTCCATCTGCAAGCAGAAATGAAATTAAACAAACCTGGGCCAAGCCATTAAAAAAACTTCAGCAAATATAAACAATATAGATCAAACCTGGGCCAAGCCATCTCTAATATATGTCCGAAATGCTTCACTGGCATTTTGAAGCTGTGCGAATATATCAACCTGCAGGAAAAAATAGTATGTGTGAGGCTATAAGGCTGCAAAAGATCTATGGACATTTTAAAAGCTGTTTTGAAGTGCATAATAGTATACAAGTATAGTTGAAAATCAAGAATGAACTGAGTTACCTGAGGGTATAACTGTGTTATACGATATAGCTCATACAGACCAATCGAGCAAGTTTGCTTGTCACCAATTTTTTTAAATATCGCAGCCAGTTCTTGCTGTTTTATGCAGTCCAATAGAAGCCAAATTAGAAAATAGAGAGCAACAAAGGTAAAGGGCAGGAATAAAAAATACAACATGATCGGGCACACTTAAACACCACAATACCTTCAGTTGAGAATCAGCCGAGTGTGCCGCAGGTGCTGGGTTGTTGGCAATCGAGTCATTCCAATGAGTTTGCCCAACTGGTACAGATGGCGTCAACATTCTTGCAGCTGCCAAAGTCTGCTCATTTTTTGAAACAAAATAAATAAATTAATCAATCAACCAACCAACTAGCAGTTAAAATCCCACTAAGTGGGGTCGGCTATATGGATCACATGTCGCCATCGTGCTTGATCAAAGCACATATCCTCAATCAAATTAAATATTTAAATCACTTTTTTATTGTCTTTCCTGAGGTCTACCCCTCCCTCTTTTAATTTACGTTCTTAGTTTAATGTTTCTACCCTTCTAACCGGTGCCTCGAAGTCTCTTCTATGCACATGCCCAAACCATCTTAAATGGTGATTCTCTCATTTTTTTCATCTATGGGCGTTACCTCAACTTTTCACATCCATCTTAACATTCTCATCTCTGTCACTCGCATTTTTTAATCATTTTCATATTTAGTAGCCCAACACTCGGATCCATAAAGCATCGTCGGTCGAATGGTCGTTCGATAGAACTTGCCTTTCAACCTCACCGCTACTTTACGATCACAAAGTAATGACGACGCGCTCTTCCACTTGTTCCAACTCGACTGAATTTTATGTGTTACATCCTTATCTATGTTGCCATTATCTTCTAGAATGTATCCTAAATATATATAACTTTTAGATGTGTTCAATTTGTGTTTCCCAATTTTAACTTTTACCCCATTATTACTCCTTTGATTACTAAAATTACAATCCATATATTCCGTATTGGCCCTACTTATGTTGATAGAAATAAATAAATAATCAAGAGAAACACCATAATACCTGAAGATTAAGATCAATATAGGCCATAATGATAGGTTGAGGTTGCATGTCAATTGGTACCATGGAAAGATGACCCTTAATGGCAGTACCACGAAGTTTGACAAGCTCATGCAGAACAGTTTTAACCATCCGAAGTGGTTTATCATCAGCTCCAGCTCTTTAGTAAATCAACAAGGAGAATAAAAAAATTATTATGCACATTCCAGTCTTGTTACTAAGTTCAAACATAACTTTTCTATGTTCTGGTATTTAGGTACATACCTCTTCCGTATTTCATCCATTCCCAATTCTTGTAGATATACATGGATACTCTGGAGGATGCGATCAAGATCTACATCGTATATTGTATTTTGCAAGACCTAGAATTTCATATTTATACAGGTCAAGCCAAAAACAACTATACAATGTATTATGAGGAAAGAATCTTAAATTTTTTGAAACAAGTCTAAGAAAGTTTACCTTTGTAAGTTTGATTAAACACTTGACAACCAAATCCGAGAACTTCTGATTTCTAACAATGAGAGACTCATTTGTTGCAGGAGCAGGCCATCTCGCTGGATCCAGAGGCCGCAAGAGATTTATAAGCACGACAAATGATGAAGTCCGGTCGGCGTTGTCCTGAACTCAAAATCCAGTCATTCAAAGGAGCATACATGAGTATGTCTAATAAAGACAAGCTATGAAACCAGCCAGTCGTGCATTGTGATGCTTTTATTCAAAAGATAAAATATAAAACAATTACCAGTATCTTCAACATCAAAACATTCAGAGCTCTCAAGAGTTGACTGCCATCATCCATCTGAGGAACCCTTTCATCCAAGAGCCAAAGCAATAGTTCCGTAATTAGAATATCAAGGGTTCTTTCCTTGACTGCATGAGCAAGCCTCTTGTTCTGAAAAATCTGCAAAAGGAAGGATAATAATTTCCAAAGTTCAATTGCAACAAAATAAAAATGATTTGCTGATCAACACTTCATAAACCCAATGCCAGTCAAACTCATTTGTCACTGAAATTGGAGTGCATAAAAAATCAACAGACAGACTGGGGCGTTTACCTGCATCAGAGTGTTCAAGACATATTTACAAGACCTTGAAGAGGCACCAGTGAGACAAAAGTCAAAAGTCTTTGCCACCTGAAACAAAAGTACAAGTGGAAAGACGAACCAAAATGAGGGAGAAGTTCTGCTAAAATATATGAGAAAAGGACAAAGGATTACAAGTGTTATTAAATGGCAGATGGCGGCGGTAAATGGTGGCAGGCCAATATCCCGCCATAGCGGCCACCATAACCACCATCCTTCAACAATTCAGCATGGCAATTTAGCAGAAATCCGCCGCCATGGTCCCATTTGATAACACTTACAATCTTCAATAATCTAAGACAATAAAGAGGGAAAACATCCAATAATTGCCTTATTTGCCAAGCATGAAACAAGTTTATCAGCATCTTTCAGTACATCATCCAATCCGTTGCCATCAGGATCAGCTGTTGCTTGTGCCAATTCATGGCACACAACTTTCATCCCTTCAACAGACTGCAGATAAGAGACTTCAATTATATATGACAAAACTACAAATTCAGAGAGTAAAATTCAATCAGCTAGACATCCAAGATTTCAGTTTCATAGACATTAGCAAACCTGCTCAGGAGAACCATGTTGTATAATATCCAAAGCTTCATTCCAATCTGTGGGGCCCACAGCAATATATGTCTGGGGCAATTGAATTCTATCTGTGTGAACTTCGGGAAGACCAAAGTTCTCCCTGTGACAAAAATGGCAATAATGATAAATATGCCAGAAAGAAAACTTGTAAAGTCGTATTCTTGACAAATTAACTATCATGTTTTCCACACTTATTCGGTGTTTGTTAGAAATTATTTTTGAATTTTAATTGATTCATGTAATTTTTGTAGCAAATCTTGAAGTATGAGAAAAGAAAAAATACATCTTTTGAGGTTTTGGAGTGCAGAGAGTAGAAATGGGCGTGGAAATGCATGTTTTCCACAAGGGTGGAAGAAGGAATGAATCTTAAGTTGGAAAGAGAGGGAATAAGATAACTTTATCCAGTTTCTGTTTTTGTAATATTTTATTTCTATTTGGGACATAATCGAGAGAATGTACTCTCATTAACTTTTTACGTATTTCGTACTATGGTTGGGAATAGAATACTTTATAACATGTAACCTGTTTCTTCTAATTATTACCTGTTTTGTTTTAATTGATTTACGTAAACTAGTCATTTGTTAGATTGTTAAAATGCATACCGTCATTTAAAACGTAAAATCCATAATTGTTTGACTGTTCTAATATTGGTGGCAAATAGTGTAATTGATTACATAAGGGTTTTTTTATTGAATACTAAGGAAATATGATCTAGTTTAAATTAACCCCCATGCATTTGTTGGCTACAATTGTGATGTACTTCTACGTTGTTAATAGGTTGTAACTCTATTGATAGATTAAATCCCATTGTTATATATAGGTTATACTTGATTAGGGATATGAAGGACGGTCATACCAATAAACATAACTAGTTTAATTCAGAGTCTATTATGTGAACCATTTCCAAGAGGTCTTCCTTGGTTAGATATTTTTCT